ACTCGATGGCACCTGAAAACAAGGTAAAATTCATCTCAAGTAGTTTTTCATTGATTACGGTAACTACTATTTGATTCTGCTATGGAAAAGTTTTGCATAGTAGTAGATTCTAGTTGGCCCAGTTTTATCTTAAAATTCACAAAATTAAAAAAAAAAAATGTCTATCTATATGTCACTATAGTTCATTGTAGAACCCATAACTTGACATGCTCATACAGACAAATACATGGTAATCTTCAAGCTAAAGAAATGCTAAAGCTCTTAATATAGTATAATTGATTCAAATTTATTAACTGTAATAAAATTTAGTACAAAAAATAGAAATTGAAGTCTCAATCAAAAATACTCATGTTTAATTTTCTGTATAGATAAAGATACAAATAATAAATGAAATTGAAATTAGACTCTTAATGATCATGTAATTAGAGAATGTAGTGTTAGATGGTCAATGACAGAAGTTGGTATCCATCCTTACAGCAGAAACATTCATCTCATGTAAGTGTTTGAGTTCTCTCTACTCAAAGTATTCTCTTGTCTGGATTGTACTGAAACCTCATTATAATTTTCTGTCTGTATTATTTCTGTTCAGAAATATTTCTGTTCCCAAACCTGAACATCCTCTTGTGAGTTATCACACTCAGTTTTGAGAATATGAAATCTATCAGACTGGGAATATAAGTATATAGAGAGCTAACTGTAACCATAATAAAAATAAACAAACAAACAAAACTCCCTGCAGCCATTGAGTTGATTCTAGTCCATGGCAACCTCAAGTGTTATAGAGAAGAACTGTTCCACAGTGGTCTTTTGGCTGTATTCTTTATGGAAACAGATTCACAAGGTCTTCCTTCCGTAGTCCTGCTAGGTGGGTTCAAGCTTTTGGTTAATAGAAGAGCAACACTAGAAATTAACATGGAGAAGGACAAAGAAAACACTCAAACATCACTAGGGTTGTTGGCATCCAAAAGAGGCAGAGAGACAGTAGTGTAAAATCTAAGGCAATGGGTCTTACATTCCTGTTTGTACCAGGTGTTGTCTCTTCCTCTACATAAAATTGATGCTAACCCACTGTATATGTTCATATTACCTATTTACCTGAAGAATCTACCTTTCATTCCCCAAGATGGGATTCTATTAAATCCACAATGAGAAGATAATCTTCTCTGTTGAATGAATTTAGATCAATCCAAACTATGAAAAAACTTATATTCATCTTTGGTCCTCTGATATCACCTTCTTGCTCCATAACTTCTTCATGGCATTTTTCACCTCTGCATTTCTCAGTGTATAAATCAAAGGGTTAAGCAAAGGTGTTCCAATTGTGTAAAACACAGCTATCAACTTATCCATGGGGAAGGTGGTTGCGGGACGTGTGTATATAAAAATACAAGGACCAAAGAACAAGATAACCACAATGATATGAGAAATACAGGTGGAAAGGGCTTTTTTCCTCCCTTCAGCACTGTGATTTCTCAGAGAATGCAAGATGATAACATAGGAAAACATCAGCATGACAAAACTCACTGTGCAAATGGCCCCACTATTGGATACCAATAGTAGGTTGATAACATATGTGTCTGCACAGGCAAGTTTCAACAAGGGCTGCAAGTCACAAAAATAGTGATCAATTACATTGGGACCACAGAAAGGTAAACTCAAAGTCAGAAAAATCTGAGTTAAAGAATGTACACAAGACCCCACCCAGGCTATGGCTACCAACACAGTGCAAACTCGCCGGCTCATGATGGTCATATAGTGTAGGGGTTTACAGATGGCTACATAGCGGTCAGCAGCCATGAGGATAAGGATGAAAATCTCCAGGCAGCCAAAGAAATGGAATGTAAAGACTTGGATTATGCACTCACTGAAAGAGATAGTGTTATTCTTCAGAATGGTATCCACAATCATTCTAGGGGATATGGTAGTAGAGAAGCAGGTGTCAGATAAGGATAAATAGAAAAGGAAGAAGTACATGGGACTCCCAAGTGCCCGGCTGGTCTTGATGGTAACAATAATCAGCAAGTTACCCAACAATGTTCCTAAGTAAAAAAACAAGAAAAAGACCAAAAGTATTTTCTTTTTAAAAGGATCCTGTGTCAACCCAAGCAGAATGAATTCAGTCACATTATTGTGCATCGGCATGATTTCATTAATGAAGAGAACATTCAAATGTGAAATGGTTTATCTGAAAAAAAGAAAACACACACACACACACACACAAGTTAATTCATGGTGCTATACAAAGTTGTGGAATATTTTTAGCAAACTAATTTATGGTTCTATGTGATATCATTTACCATTTGCCTGTTCGTTTATCGTAGTGTGATAGCTTATGTTTTGCTGTAATGCTGGAAGCTATGCCATGAGTATTTTAATATCAGCAAGGTCACTCATAGTATACAGGTTTCAGCAGAGCTTCCAGACTAAGACAGACTAGGATGAAAGAAAGGTTTCAGCAGAGCTTCCAGATTAAAACAGACTAGGAAGAAAGAAATGAAGACGACTTCTGAAGGATTAACCACTGAAAACCTTGGGAATAGCAGCAGGACACTGTCTGATGTAGTACTAGAAGATAAGCTCTTCAGATTGGACAGCACTCAAAATATGACTGGGAAAAGCTGCCTTCTCAAAGTATGTTGTAGTTGTTGTTAAGTGTTGTCAAGTTGATTCTTATTCATAACAAACCTGTATAAATTTTCCAAGGAGCATCTAGTGGGTTCAGTGCCTATCCTACAATACCACACCAGGCCTCAAAGTATAGTTGACCTTAATGATGTGAGTGGAACAGAGCTTTCAGAACATTCACTTGCTAATGGAGTAGCAACAATGGGCTCAAACATAGTGACAGCTGTGACAATGGCACAGGACAGGATATTGCTCTGTTCTGCTTGGATCTGTACGGTCACTATGAGTCAGAGCCAACATGATGGCAATTAACCCTGTGGGTTATGCACTGGACTGCGAGGTTGGTTTGAAACAACAAATTGGTGGTTCAAGCTCACCAGTCACTACTCCGAAGCCCTATACAAGATTGCTATCAGTTGGAATGGACTTGACAGCACTTAACAACAAAAAATAATGTGCTATTATGCAATATTTTGAACAAAAATAAATATTCCTTATCAGAGATATTTTATCTGTTATTTATTAATAAAACACTTCAACTCTTTGTTCCTCAATAATTAATGACCACTTCCTAAGATCATTGTTGTTGTTGTCAGGTGCCATCGAGTTGGAGCCGACTCAGCGACCCCATGCACAGCAGAACGAAACAATGTCCAATCCTGGGTCAACCTCACTACCGCTGCCACACTTGGCACCATCAATGATGCCACCAGGCCAATCCATCTCGTTAGGGGTCTTCCTCTTTTTCTCTGACCCTCCACCTTACCCAGCATGACATCCTTCTCCAGCG